TTCATTTTTTCTAGTTGACAAAAAAAAATCGAATTTAATTACAAATAAGAAAAACTGTTGTTACTAATCACTCTGTGATTACTCGACATTATTAATATACGATCGGTCTTCATATTTTAACCTCTGTCACAATTTGTGTGGAAGTCTAAAATTTTTACTCCTATACATCAACATTCGTTTTAGATCATATTTCAAAAAAAAAAAAAAAAACAAAATTGTTCAAATATATAAAATTTATATTCGAAATATAACTTCCTATTCAATGTCATTTGTGTACTAGGTTATCCAATAGATTGTGCAGCTAAAATTTCAACATTTTCACCTGGATCAATAGATGATTTAAGTGATTTAAAATGAATCATTTTTTCAAATGTTCGTTTATCCATATTAGTTTGATCTAATTTTCCATGTGTTGTTATATAATTTCTTATTAAATCATCTAAACGTTCAGTAATAGCACCTAACATTTGATGCTGGTAAATAATTTTGTGTAAGAGGTGAATAAAATTTGACAAGACTATAATTATATTGTTGACGTTTATCATCAGATAAATTTCTCGATGTGTGAACCATAATTGAACGTGCTTGATTAATATGTTTACTTTTAAATGAATTAGTTAATGTATGTAAATCAAAAAAACGTCAATAATTTATAAATGGTGTGTCATACGTATTTTTGTTTCATCATTTATTTTTAAATATATTCAATCATTTAAATTATTTTCATCATCAGCTAAATCTCGAGTTTTTTTTCTCCATGCACGAATTTTGTTTAAATGTTTTTATAATTGGTTTTTCTTTTGTTGAACCACATATATCAACAATACGTGAATATTCATCTTTACCTAATATTGTTGATTGATTAGCAATAAGAAATGGATAATATTCTTATTTTAAATAACTACATTTTTCAACAGCTAAACCATCTTCACCATATTGAAATTGTCAAACACTTCCATCACTATAACGTACTGTTAAATCATAATTAACAACTAAACCTTCGAAATGTTTCATTAAACAACGTTGTAAATAACCAATACGTGCAGTTTTTACAGCTGTATCAATAAAACCTTAATAAAAGAAAAATAAAAATGAATTTAAAAAAGAAAACAAATAATTGTTTTCATACTTCTCGTCCAGCCATAGAATGAAAAAAATATTTTTGTGGTCGTATACCACTTAACAAAACTTCTATCAACAAAACCACCTGATCGTGGTCAATATTCATATGGACGAAATTATGGTAAACGTTCGACCAGTTGGCATCATTGGTGGACGTTTACCTTCTAATTCTTGTTGACCAAGTAAACAAGAGATTTCCATTGCATTTACAGATCAACCTTAAATAATATCAAAAAAA